TTACTCTACCCAGCAAGGATCTCATTCAGATTTGATGGAGAAATTAAAACCTTTACAGACAAGCAAAAGCTGAGAGAGTTCAGCACCACGGAACCAGCTTTACAACAACTGCTAAAGGAACTTCTCTAGCCAAGAAACACAAGAGAAAGAAAAGACCTACAATAACGAACCAAAACAATTAAGAAAATGGGAATAGGAACATACATATCGATAATTACCGTAAATGTAAATGGACTAAATGCTCCCACCAAAAGACACAGATTGGCTGAATGGATTCAAAAACAAGACCCATATATTTGCTGTCTACAAGAGACCCACTTCAGACCTAGAGACAGATACAGACTGAAAGTAAGGGGATGGAAAAAGATATTTCATGTAAATGGAAACCAAAAGAAAGCTGGAGTAGCAATTCTCATATCAGACAAAATAGACTTTAAAATAAGGACTATCAGAAGAGACAAAGAAGGACACTACATAATGATTAAGGGATCGATCCAAGAAGAAGATATAACAATTGTAAATATTTATGCACCCAACATAGGAGCACCTCAATACATAAGGCAAATACTAACAGCCATAAAAGGGGAAATCGACAGTAACACATTCATAGTAGGGGACTTTAACACCCCACTTTCACCAATGGACAGATCATCCAAAATGAAAATAAATAAGGAAACACAAGCTTTAAATGATACATTAAACAAGATGGACTTAATTGATATTTATAGGACATTCCATCCAAAAACAACAGAATACATATTTTTCTCTAGTGCTCATGGAACATTCTCTAGGATAGATCATATCTTGGGTCACAAATCAAGCCTTGGTAAATTTAAGAAAATTGAAATTGTATCAAGTATCTTTTCCGACTGCAATGCTATGAGACTAGATATCAATTACAGGAAAAGATCTGTGAAAAATACAAACACATGGGGGCTAAACAATACACTACTTAATAATGAAGTGATCACTGAAGAAATCAAAGAGGAAATAAAAAAATACCTAGAAACAAATGACAATGGAGACACGACAACCCCAAATCTATGGGATGGAGCAAAAGCAGTTCTAAGAGGGAAGTTTATAGCAATACAAGCCCACCTTAAGAAGCAGGAAACATCTCGAATAAACAACCTAACCTTGCACCTCAAGCAATTAGAGAAAGAAGAACAAAAAAACCCCAGAGTTAGCAGAAGGAAAGAAATCATAAAAATCAGATCAGAAATAAATGAAAAAGAAATGAAGGAAACAATAGCAAAGATCAATAAAACTAAAAGCTGGTTCTTTGAGAAGATTAACAAAATTGATAAACCATTAGCCAGACTCATCAAGAAAATAAGGGAGAAGACTCAAATCAATAGAATCAGAAATGAAAAAGGAGAAGTAACAACTGACACTGCAGAAATACAAAAAATCATGAGGGATTACTACAAGCAACTCTATGCCAATAAAATGGACAATCTGGAAGAAATGGACAAATTCTTAGAAATGCACAAACTGCCAAGACTGAATCAGGAAGAAATAGAAAATATGAACAGACCAATCACAAACACTGAAATTGAAACTGTGATTAAAAATCTTCCAACAAACAAAAGCCCAGGACCAGATGGCTTCACAGGCGAATTCTATCAAACATTTAGAGAAGAGCTAACACCTATTCTTCTCAAACTCTTCCAAAATATAGCAGAGGGAGGAACACTCCCAAACTCATTCTACGAGGCCACCATCACCTTGATACCAAAACCAGACAAGGATGTCACAAAGAAAGAAAACTACAGGCCAATATCACTGATGAACATAGATGCAAAAATCCTCAACAAAATACTAGCAAACAGAATCCAACAGCACATTAAAAGGATCATACACCATGATCAAGTGGGGTTTATTCCAGGAATGCAAGGATTCTTCAATATACGCAAATCTATCAATGTGATTAACCATATTAACAAATTGAAGGAGAAAAACCATATGATCATCTCAATAGATGCAGAGAAAGCTTTTGACAAAATTCAACACCCATTTATGATAAAAACCCTGCAGAAAGTAGGTGTAGAGGGAACTTTCCTCAATATAATAAAGGCCGTATATGACAAGCCCACAGCCAACATCATCCTCAATGGCGAAAAACTGAAAGCATTTCCACTAAGGTCAGGAACAAGACAAGGTTGCCCACTCTCACCACTCTTATTCAACATAGTTTTGGAAGTTTTAGCCACAGCAATCAGAGAAGAAAAGGAAATAAAAGGAATCCAAATCGGAAAAGAAGAAGTAAAGCTGTCACTGTTTGCAGATGACATGATACTATACATAGAGAATCCTAAAGATGCTACCAGAAAACTACTAGAGCTAATCAATGAATTTGGTAAAGTAGCAGGATACAAAATTAATGCACAGAAATCTCTGGCATTCCTATACACTAATGATGAAAAATCGGAAAGTGAAATCAAGAAAACACTCCCATTTACCACTGCAACAAAAAGAATAAAATATCTAGGAATAAACCTACCTAAGGGGACAAAAGACCTGTATGCAGAAAATTATGACACTGATGAAAGAAATTAAAGATGATACAAATGGAGAGATATACCATGTTCTTGGATTGGAAGAATCAACATTGTGAAAATGACTCTACTACCCAAAGCAATCTACAGATTCAATGCAATCCCTATCAAACTACCACTGGCATTTTTCATAGAACTAAAACAAAAACTTTCAAAGTGTGTATGGAAACACAGAGGACCCCGAATAGCCAAAGCAATCTTGAGAAGGAAAAATGGAGCTGGAGGAATCAGGCTCTGACTTCAGACTATATTACAAAGCTACAGTAATCAAGACAGTATGGTACTGGCACAAAAACAGAAAGATAGATCAATGGAACAGGATAGAAAGCCCCGAGATAAAAACCCATGCACATATGGTCACCTTATCTTTGATAAAGGTGGCAGGAATATACAGTGGAGAAAGGACAGCCTCTTCAATAAGTGGTGCTGGGAAAATTGGACAGGTACATGTAAAAGTATGAGATTAGATCACTCCCTAACACCATACACAAAAATAAGCTCAAAATGGATTAAAGACCTAAATGTAAGGCCAGAAACTATCAAACTCTTAGAGGAAAACATAGGCAGAACACTCTATGACATAAATCACAGCAAGATCCTTCTTGACCCATCTCCTAGAGTAATGGAGATAAAAACAAAAATAAACAAATGGGACCTAATGAAACTTCAAAGCTTTTGCACAGCAAAGGAAACCATAAACAAGACCAAAAGACAACCCTCAGAATGGGAGAAAATATTTGCAAATGAATCAACTGACAAAGGATTAATCTCTAAAATTTACAGGCAGCTCATGCAGCTCAATAACAAAAAAATAAACAACCCAATCCAAAAATGGGCAGAAGACCTAAATAGACATTTCTCCAAAGAAGATATACAGACTGCCAACAAACACATGAAAGAATGCTCAACATCATTAATCATTAGAGAAATGCAAATCAAAACTACAATGAGATATCATCTCACACCAGTCAGAATGGCCATCATCAAAAAATCTAGAAACAATAAATGCTGGAGAGGGTGTGGAGAAAAGGGAACACTCTTGCACTGCTGGTGGGAATGTGAATTGGTTCAGCCACTATGGAGAACAGTATGGAGGTTCCTTAAAAAACTACAAATAGAACTACCATATGACCCAGCAATCCCACTACTGGGTATATACCCTGAGAAAACCATAATTCAAAAAGAGTCATGTACCAAAATGTTCATTGCAGCTCTATTTACAATAGCCCGGAGATGGAAACATCCTAAGTGTCCATCGACAGATGAATGGATAAAGAAGATGTGGCACATATATACAATGGAATATTACTCAGCCATAAAAAGAAACGAAATTGAGCTATTTGTAATGAGGTGGATAGACCTAGAGTCTGTCATACAGAGTGAAGTAAGTCAGAAAGAGAAAGACAAATACCACATGCTAACACATATATATGGAATTTAAGAAAAAAAAATGTCATGAAGAACCTAGGGGTAAGACAGGAATAAAGACACAGACCTACTGGAGAACGGACTTGAGGATATGGGGAGGGGGAAGGGTAAGCTGTGACAAAGCGAGAGAGAGTCATGGACATATATACACTACCAAACGTAAGGTAGATAGCTAGTGGGAAGCAGCCGCATAGCACAGGGAGATCAGCTCGGTGCTTTGTGACCGCCTGGAGGGGTGGGATAGGGAGGGTGGGAGTGAGGGCAAGAGGGAAGAGATATGGGAATATATGTATATGTATAACTGATTCACTTTGTTATAAAGCAGAAACTAACACACCATTGTAAAACAATTATACTCCAATAAAGATGTAAAAAAAGAACACAAAACAAACAAACAAAAAAATATAAAAAGAAGCTGGGATTAGTCACCAACTGGCCACCATCACAGTAATAACTGACTCCACCAAGAAACAGAGGATGCTAAAACCAGGGGGTGACAGTTTGATGAAGAACAAGATATTCACATCATATCAAAGCATTTCGCCATAAAATATTCAGTAATTACCAAGGGGAAAGTAACTTTGTGGAGAAGCCTGACCAACATCACCTGACCAAGAATCTAAGTTGACGTCACTAATGTTTGTGTCCCCAGACTAGATGGGATGAGAAGGACACAGCATCACTTTGGGGATATTCACACATAATCTGAATCCAATCACAGGGAAGCACCAGATACACCGAAACAACAACCACTTGTAATCTTCAAAAGCGCCAGGTCCTAACAACAAGGACAGGTGGACTGAAGCCACACGAGGTCCTGGGCTGGCTGATGGGGCAGTTTCATAGTCACACTGATTTCCTAATTTGGGGTGGGAGAGGGCTGATGGGTCAGCAACTCACTCTCCAATCTTTCATAACAAAGTTCTGTGCTTCCTTGTTGTAAGCTTGGAATTATTTCAAAATAATGGAAAAGGGAGGGTGGCATCCGCTTCATGCCAGGTGTAAATACTTTACCTGTGTGCAGAGCTCTTCCATCTCAGAGCAGGCCTTTTCCTTCTCTCTCTTTAAAACCTCAACTTCCTTCCTGTTCAGGAAGCAAAGTTAACAGTATCACTGACCACTCATCGCTCACGGTCACCTTGGCGGCTTGGATTTGTACACCTGCTCCTGGTACCCTACAGCCACTGCTCTGTCACTGTCCTACGCTATTGCTGCTGCTGGTCCAATGGGATCCCAGCTTCGGAACCAGAGGAACCCTGACAGCACTGTAAGAACAAACCCTCCATGACGCTCCCCAATCACACACGTTAATCTCACTCTAGCACATGCGACTGCTCCTCACACCCAGCAGCATAAACACCAACACAGGCTTACATTCACTGACATCTGAGGTCAAAGGGGTCCCAGCACCAAACTCAGGGAAAAATGGTTCCTGGAGGGAAAAGGCTTGCAGATTTCAGAACTGCTGTAACGTAACAGAGATCGTTTATTGACCATCCACTTTGGATCCCAGGCTTTCATCATCAGGCACTTTAATCAAATCAACACCGCATTCTCGGCAGTTTAGAGCTGAGCTCATCTTGAACGTCATTCAAAAAAAAGCCAAACAAACCATCCTTGGATGAGGCTCTGATGGTGAAAGCAGAAATCCACTGACAGGCAATCCCGAGCCTCCTCCGCAACACACACACACACACACACACACACACACACACACACCTCCTGCCTCAGTGCTCAGACCCCTGACCCCTGACTCTGACTCACTGAAATCGACAGACCAGGAATGAACCTTGGAGAAAAGCGCAGCTGAAACCATTATCAGAACAAGAACAGATTCTACTCGCCCAGAAAGGCTGCAAGAGTATCTCTCGCCCCTACGAGAATGCTCGATGCCTCCCCCGAGCCCTGAGCACGATGTGGAGTATTTCTGCAGGGTGAGCAGTGCTTGCAGAGCAGCGTCAGAGGCACACGGGCCTGTGCTGGAGCTGGTGGCGGTGGTGCTGACCTGGCACCTCCTACTTCTGCGAACGAGGAGCTCAGGAAGGAAGGTGGCTGCTGACATCTGCAAGGAGGCCCGAGCCCCGCTGTGCCTGGCAAGGCTGGTCAGAGGGCAGCACGGCTCTCCTGGAGTGCGGGTTATCTGTGAACACGTCCCACTTTCTACAGCAATGCCTTCTAAGCTTACTCTACGAAGAACAAACCCTGTCAGGGACCGGGGTCGGGGTGGGACCATTGAGATGGCCCTTACCTCTGTGCAGCCTCTGTCCTTTCTGCAGCTTCAAGCTCTTGCTGGATCCTTGTCAGCTCATTTTTCAAAAGCGTGTTTTCTTCAGAAAGCCTATCCAACTTGATTCTGCATGAGAAATTTAAGAAAGGATCAAGAGTGGGAACTCCAGGAGCTGGTCACCCCCACGCACTCCAGCCTTGCAGTGACCCTGCAGCCACACTTCCCCTTCCCTAGATGAGAGCACAGGACACCACTTCCTTCGCTTTCCTGTATCCCGTGTTAACCTGCTCTGGTTTGCATCTCCCTAGAGATAAGCTATAGAAGACAAAGCTTTCTTAGCTTCTAAAACGGCCACACAATCAACAACTCCCTGGTGTATTCAGCACCTTGGTTCTTCGTGTTCACAGCTGGCCTGTTCCTGCATCTTATAACCTCCACTGAAACGTGAGTGTGCCCATGGCTGGCACCAGTGCAAGATGCTGGGTGAGTCCTCGCGAGGTCATTGCAAGGAGAGTGGCCACCCCCTCCACCCAGGGGACTCCAGCACAAAGCTGAGGAACACAAGGACTGGGGAGGCCAGATCCCAAGGGAAGAGTGCCGCCATCCTACACCCTGAGGTCAGTACCAGGAGGAGCCTGGGACAATGCCCGTGTCAGTGGACAGAGGGCGACCTGATGCAACATGGAGCCTTCAGGGGGAAAAGCAAGTACCGACAGTGGCTGCCGGGACCAAGTCTTCCCGGAGGCCCCCCTGGCTTCCAATGCTCTTAGAGTCTCCCTGGGAAGATAACCCCATCTATGTGTGACACACGAGCAACTGACCAGTAAAGATCATGGGGAGGCAGTCTGAAACCCACACCTGCTGCCCAGAGAGTCTATCCTTAATGCATGTTGGTCTTGCGGACATTTATTCCCCTAAACAGGTCTCTACCTGGCATTAGCTTCTTTTCACTCTAAAAGTACTCAAAGCCACATGACCTCATATGTTTCTGTATTATTCTTATAAAGTCAAGCATAAGTATCTCCTTCACAAGCATAAGTACCACTTCCTTTTTCCTCATGAGGAACTGGAGAGAAAAATAAAGACACAGAAGTCAACGGAATTTTAAAAACAGCAAAGGGTCTCAAGCAGAGGAGTGACACAAATGAGGTCTGTGTTTTGAACCGTCATTCCGGCTCCACGATGGAAAACAAATTGATTCAAGGCACATGTGTGTGTGTATGTGGTTGGCAGGGGATTCTGCCTCCAGCTTCCTGGACCTCAAATAAGATGGCAGTTGCTCTACCCCAGCTGCCCACACTCACCAAATAACCAGAGCAAAGCTGATCATCTAGTGTGTGATGTCCTCACAGAAGGTAATGGAAACCTCCAGGGGTCCCCAAACAAAAAAAACCCGGAAGCTGAAACCAAAGCCATGAGCACTAAGCAACACAAAAATGGGGTTACCCTGAGGCCAGCACCTACACCAGTGTGGAGAAACCACACCGTGGATACATGCACTGGGCCAGTCCCCTGGACGAGGTTAAAGTGGTCTCAGATTAAGAGGCTCTCAACTCTTGGCAAAAGCAAAACACATCCTTTCTGCAGGGAGCACCCTCTACTACAGCTCCCAGGATTCCCAGAGATAAACAGCATGTAAGCATGAGCTCACAATTAAAGATCACCACAATATATGTTGAAAAGGACCACCTATGAGAGTCAGAAGAAGCCAGAACAACAGAATTAGATCCTGTAGGAACCTCAGATACTGGAATTATCAGACACAAACTAAGGATAAATATTATGAAATGTTTACTTAACTAAAAGATGGAAATTTTAAAAGGGACAAGCAACAGGAAGCTATCAAAAATGATCAGACAGGACTAACTAAACAGAATTTTGGAAAATAAAAAGTCAATGTCAAAAGAAAAACTCACTGGAAGAACGTGCCATAGACAAAAGAAGTCAGAAGTAATGAAAGAGAGGTTAAGAAATGGAGGAAGATGGATGCTCAGCATCACTAATCATTAGAGAAATGCAAATCAAAACTACAATGAGGTATCACCTCACACCAGTCAGAATGGCCATCATCAAAAAGTCTACAAATAATAAATGCTGGAGAGGGTGTGGAGAAAAGGGAACCCTCTTGCACTGTTGGTGGGAATGTAAATTGATACAGCCACTATGGAGAACAGTATGTAGGTTCCTTAAAAAACTAAAAATAGAACTACCATATGACCCAGCAGTCCCACTACTGGCATATACCCTGAGAAAACCATAATTCAAAGAGTCATGTACCACAATGTTCATTGCAGCTCTATTTACAATAGCCAGGACACGGAAGCAACCTAAGTGTCCATCGACAGATGAATGGATAAAGAAGATGTGGCACATATATACAATGGAATATTACTCAGCCATGAAAAGAAACGAAATTGAGCTATTTGTAGTGAGGGGGATGGAGCTAGAGTCTGTCATACAGACTGAAGTAAGTCAGAAAGAGAAAAACAAATACCACATGCTAACACATATATATGGAATCTAAAAAAAAAAAATGGTTATGAAGAACCTAGGGGCAGGATGGGAAAAAAGACATAGGCCTTCTAGAGAATGGACTTGAGGACACAGGGAGGGGGAAGTGTAAGCTGGAACAAAGTGATAGAGTGGCATGGACATATATACACTACCAAATGTAAAATCGATAGCTAGTGGGAAGCAGCCGCATAGCACAGGGAGATCAGCTCGGTGCTTTGTGACCACCTAGGGGGGTGGGATAGGGAGGGAGGGTGGGAGGGAGATGCAAGAGGGAAGAGATATGGGTACATATGTATATGTATAACTGATTCACTTTGTTATAAAGCAGAAACTAACACACCATTGTGAAGCAATTATACTCCAATAAAGATGTTAAATAAATAAACAAATAGATAGATAGACAGATAGATAGAAAGAAATGGAGGAAAAGTGAAAAGACATCATACATCCAGTTATAGAGGACAGTGAGGGGAGAAGCAATATTTTACGAATAATGGCTGAGAGATTTTCATAGGACACAAATCTATATATTCAATAGACAATGTTTTCTAAGTAGGATAAGTAAAAAGAAAACCACACCTATATCCTACAACCCAACAATTCCATTCTTATGTACACCAGCACCCAGAACAAAAAATGGGGTTCCCCAGAGCCCCCAAGGGTTGCCACTATCCTGACTTGGAAAAGTGACCCCTGGGGGACTTGTGCTGGGGACACAGATATGTCCAATTCATCAACAATTCTTCCAACTGCACACACGTGTGTATTTTTCTTGTGCGTATAACACTTTAATAAAAAGTTAAAGTGAAAGAATACACACCTAAACATACCAAAGAAAACCCATAGAAGATGGAGAAGTTAATAGCAGCCAGAGGATACAACTCAGATCACCATTCTCAGGTTCTAGGGTTCAGTCCCACTGACCCAGACTAATGGCCTTTCCTGTTATTTTGGGGCTTTTAGGCCTTTTATCCACCTCCCCAAGGACCATGAGATGACAGACGATGGAGACCGTGTTGCCCTTGCTACCTACCAGGCGAGTCAGAGGCAGGAGGTAAAGTGAGTCAAAATTCTACAAAGCAAAGGGCTTCAGGGCCTAAGCTCTAGTTAATACGTATTTTTGAAGTCAGAATCTTTGGGAATTCCCTGGTGGTCCAGTGATTAAGACTCCATCCACTGGAGGGGCATGGGTTTGATCCCTGGTCGGGGAACTAAGATCCTGCATGCCACATGCGCAAAAAACTGAAAAGTCAGAATCTTTGTAAAATAGCCTGTTCTTTCAGGGCTCATGTGTCTGCACCAACAAGAACCACTCAGGTAACAGCCATTGTGATTCTGAGCCGTTTGCCCAAATCCAATTTCAAATTCGGATTCTGAGTAAGAAACCCTGGACGCGAAATCCCAAAAGGATGCAGTGCCGGACCTGACCCGCTGCAGCGCCTCCTCCAGCTGGTCCCTCTCCTGGGCCAGCTGCCGTGCGTGGCCCCGCTCCAGCTCCACGGCCCGCTGCAGCCGGTCCCGCAGGCCTCGGACAGCCTCCTGCGACTCCTGGTGCAGCGTCGCCAGCTCGGCCTTCTGACCCTGCAGCACGCCAACCTCGAGCTTGAAGGCCCGCTCCAGCTCCTTTCTCTCCTCCGCAAAGGCCCTTTTCAATACCTCCATCTCCCTTTCATAGTAATTCACCTGGGAATAGAAGCGTGAGTGATGTCAGCCAGGGGCCCCTAAACATGATCTGCCTGACGATACAAGGCTGCCCGGCACAGCATCCAAAGGGCGGGGGGCCCGGCCTTAACAAGGTGCTGGGGCCTGTGAAAGGCTCCCCAGGGCCCGTGTGGCTGCCTGCTCTGTCACGTCCTGTAACCTTCACTGCGGCCTAGGGGGGCAGGCCTGGCAGGTGCAGAAAGGCTGCTGGGGGCCGAGCTGGGCTGGGTGCCTGGCAGCAGCAGCAGCAGAAGCGCAGAGGGGGGACAATACCTACCGCGAGGCCGCAGTGGCTTTGAACCCCCTGGAGACCTGGCGGGCAAGGCCACAGCAGGAGCCCAGGGGCAGGACCGCTAGTAAGAGGTGGCCCCGCCTCGCTGGCAGTGACACCTTACGAGATGTTGGTACCGTCCCTCAACAAAACCCACCGCAGTTGGGTCACGGAGCTGGAGGCATGTTCACCCAAGAAGACAGGCCTGGCCAGGGTGGCCCGGGAGCCCCCCACGCAGGGCAGTCCCAGGGTGCTTCAGCTGGAACAGAGTTGGGAGCTGTCACTCCCCAGCACAGAGTAAGCAGGGAGGTCTGGCCTCAGTGCAGCCCTCATGACTCTGGGATACCACGACCCTGCTCCCTCCCATTAGTAGTTATACCTTCTGTCCTGCCTGCTTCCAAAGCGGGTGTGAGGCAGAACATCCATGTCATGCACATTTCCCTGCAAACTTCTGTCCCCCCGAGCATGCTCACTATGGGGCAGACGTGTGCGCAGAAGCGTCCCAGCAGCACGAAGCTCCCTGACCCCTCCGGCCTCCCTCAGCCCCCCTGACCTTGGTCTCCAGCTGGATCTCGAGGTCTTTGTAACGTTCCTTCACCTGCTCCAACATTATCTCCGTCTCTAAACTCACTGGGACGGAATCACCCACAAACGTGACAATGCCTGCAACAAGAAGACGCTTCCGTTTACGTCTTGCCCAGGACGCTGCGGGGTCTGATCCGACCTCCAAGCCGACATCTGGACGAAGCACAGCCTTCCGCGGGCACTTTCTGCAAGAGGAATGCAATGCTGGCAGTAAGAGGACGTGGGCCATGGACCGTCTGTTGCGCTGAGTTCTCAAAGCTGTGGCATTTTTACAGACCAGCATTTCGAGTCTTTGCCAGAACGCAGATCACTCAAAGGTATGAATGGCGAGGAGGCTCCCTGCCAGATTTGTCAGGCCTTTGAATTGCCTGAAAGATGCCACATGGGGTACATGTCCTGCCCCCTTGACTGTGGCAGGCACACACAGCGATGGGGACAACGGGAAAAAGTGACCATAGCACAGACAGTGCTTTAGGATGAGCCACGACGAAGCTCTGTCTTCATTATTTCGCCTTCCTCCTTTTCTCAGAGGCCCTCCCTACTTTCTATTACATCACACAAATCATGGGGGTGGGGCTCTTAACAAAAAAGTCAGGCAAACTAAGCACTTGTGGAGGCTCTGACAGATTGTAGGAAGAGGGTGTGAGCTATACCTGGTCCAGAAGACCCTCCCCACCGGCAACATCACGCGTCCTTACAGCTCATCCCCAAAGGGCGCCTGTGAACCCACAAGCGCGGTCAGCCCTCCTGGGCCCAGGGGCCCCCCACGTTGTGCGTGTTGGGGGGCACACCCAAGGCTTGACTCAGAATGTGGGTGTGACCGCCGCTGCTGGTCCACGGGCCAGAAAGTGAAGGGAGCAGACACACCCTGACCTCTCACCCAAATTGTTTTCCATGAAAAAGAGTGACAGGCTCAATGACATCCTGAGAGAACTCAGAGTAAGTATCTCAGGAAAGAGAGCATCCTGTTGCCCTGACAACTGGAAGCCGCCACCTGGGTCTGGCCAAGTGGCACCCGTCAGGAGTGGCCCCAGCTGGATGCACTGCCGGCCCAGACTCCACAACCTACATGGCCCCCGCCACCACAACTCTGCTGTCCTGACTGTCCCTCCTCCTTTGAAGGGGCCAACAGAACCTCTATGGTCAGACGAGGGGGGAAAGTGTAAGAGAAAATACTCCAGCCGGGAGAGCGCTCTGGTTGTATCAGTGCCAACACAAAGCTTGGGGCTGCCCTCGGCGCCACACCTCAGAGACTTCTGGGCACGGCACCCTGGGCACAGACCCCGTCTCTCTGCTCCCCGCGTTATGGATCGTGGTTCTCGACAAGGGTCACATGCTCTGTGCAGCTCAGTCCCCTCCAGGGACAGAGGAGGTGACAGTAACCCCCTTCCCGGTGGCCACACTGGCACCAGACACTCCTCTGGGGATCAGATGATACCAGCTCACCAGCCACATGCCAACACCTCCTGGCTGAGGGCAGCAGGGCTGTGGGTCTCGGCAGCCATCAGCTCCACTAATGCAGCTGCAGGTGAGGGGCTCCCTTCGGGCCCAGGTGCACAGAAGACCCCACTCGGTTTCCCTTGGAGGCTCCCATGTTGACTTTCCTGTTTTAAGTAACAGCTTTAGGACAATACGGGAGCCCAATGCTCTCAGGGTTACAGATAAGAGCGACACGTCCTCTGGGGCTGCGTCTGCATGACATGTGACCACAGAGGAGGTCCGGCTGCTGGGCTGGGGCTGTTGTGGTGGTTCCCACGGCAGCAAGGGGCATGGAGCCTGGAGCACGTGGACCTGTAGTGCCCGCCCCGCCCAGCTGCCAGGGAGGGTGCAAGCAGCCAAACCCCGTCCTCCTCAAGGAGAGCTGTGGCCTCAGAACCTCCAGCCCAGTCTCTAGAAGGAGCCAAGAACATTAACCTCTCAGTGCTTGCAGCCTGTCGAGACCTCCCGCCTTTGGCGTCGGCTCTGCACGCAGCAGGTGGGAGGGCCCTTCCCAGGCGCCATGGCCCAGGCCCATCTCAGACCCCTTCCACAGCGGCCCGCCGGCCTCGGTCCACACGGTTTAGCACCTGCCTTGTATGAGCCGTCACAGAGCCAAGACCAGCCTGTCCCCTGTCCCCCCAGCCTCCTCTCTCCTCCCCTCCCCCAGAGGACCATCTGTGTGGAGCATCTCCTTTGATCACCAACTCCGCCCCCCTCCCCGCGACCCAGGAGGCTCCCTGGGACATGCCTGCCCTGAGGTCATGGCCAGGTCCTCATAACCTTCACCACTTACTTCTACGCAAATGGTGGAACCCACATTCTCCACCATCTCCCTTGGGGCTCTGGGGGTCACACAGAACCCTGGCCTCAGGTAGGCCCCTTCTCCCACACAAGAGGTCGGAAGGGCTTGTGACCACCTGTGCAGCAGGTCAGCCCCACGCGCCCCCCGCCCCGGGAAGGCGCACACGACCCACCACCTCGAAACACCGGGCTCCTACCTGCCGGGCCATGTCCCGGGAGAAGCTGGCCGTGCCGACTCGGGGGCAGCTGTGCCCGCAGGCCTTCCAGTGCGGTCTGCAGCTCGTCGTTGCAGTCCTGCAGGTCCTGTGGGCAGAGCCAGACCCTTCCTCCAGCCACTGTGGCCACTGGGCCCAGGAGTCAGCCCCCAGCTCAGCAGGGCGGACGGGGCACCGAAGCTGCACCCAGGCACCTAACTGCTCCGTGAGCGACACAGGAGCAGGGGTCATTTCGCGACATCTTATGCCTGGCACCACCTTCCATCACGGGATACAAGGAAGGGACTCAGGGATAAAAAGTGCAGTGAAAGTGAGAAATGGAGAAAATACAGAGAAACCATAGGTGGTTGGGTAAGCACGCACATAAGGGGAAGAGGGCACTTGGGGGTGTGAAGGCTTAAGAGGAAGAGTCCCTGGGAATTCCCTGGCGGTCCAGCGGTTAGGACTCGGCGCTTTCACTGCCGGGGCCCAGGTTCGATCCCTGGTCGGGGAACTAAGATCCCACAAGCTACACAGCGCAGAGGAAAAAAAAAAAAAGAGGAAGGGTCTCGTTTGTGACAAGCGTAATTTGTCCACCCACGAATGAAATACACCTGAACAAGCACATTTGGTCACCTGACTTTCAAAAGGCCAGAAAGGGTAGCGTGCACATCCCACCTTTCCAGGTGGCCCCAGAGCCGGCACCACGGCCACATGGCTTTGGGTCCACGTACTCTTCCCCCCAACCCCGGGTGGGCTGTGGCCGCCCCAGCTGGAGGACAGCGTGCGTGATGCAGCTTCCACCCAGCTTCTTCTCCCGGGAAACTGGCTCTGGGGGAAGCCAGACCAGCCAAGGCCATGGCACGCCCTCAAGACCCCACCTCCCTCCCTGATGTTTTTTCTTTTTTTTTTGGCCACGCCCCATGGCATGCAGGATCTTAGTTCTCCGACCAGGGACTGAACCCCTGCCCCCTGCATTGGGAGTGCAGAGTCCTAACCACTGGACCGCCAGGGAAGCCCGCTCCGCTCTGATTTTTTCATCTATTTGAGTTTCTTCTCCGGGCAGCTCTTGTCAAATAAACCTCATCTTCCTGAACTCCCCGGTGGCCAGTGCCTGGCTTGTCTCTGCATCCGCCCTTGGAGAAGGTGCCTTTCATCGGCAGTTCTAGGCCGTGTGGGAGAAGGGACAGGCCCTGCAGATCTCAGAAGAAGCATAGATTTACTAGGATCACTGTACCTCCTTCAGAAACTCCTGGGCAAATACAGTTTCCCCACGGAGGGAGCAGCTCCTTCCTGGGGGAAAGGGCAGGGCCGGGATGTGAGAGCCGTGGGGTAGACCTGCGGGGCGGCAGGTGTGGGCACCCCCGGCCCCTCTACCCCACGATGCCGCCACGCCAGCTACTGAGCATGTCAGGTGTGGTCAGTCTGGATTGAGGTGTGTGTAGCATAAACTCTACCCCGATCTTAAACACCAGATCCCCAAAAAGGGATGTAAAAGATCTCATTTAAAATGTGTTTATATTGATTATATATGTTGATTATATGTTGAAATAATGACACTGTGGATATAATACAGGAAATAAAATGTAATTAAAATGATTAATGTCACCTATTTCTTTTTACCTTTTTTAATGTGACTCCTGGAAAACTTGAAATTACACATGTGACTGGTATTTTTACTGACAGTGCTGATCTGGCAGGAAACACAGAATCATTTCTACCCGATGCCCTCCCCCCTCGGTGGTTCTTTCTGCCCCTCAGATGGGTATTTTAAGAGCATATGCACAAATTCAGCCGTGCCAGAAAACAGGTCCTTAGGTGCCATGCTGGGCACAGACTTCTCTGCTCTCAGGCACCACTGTCGGTTCTAACCGATGAGGGTGACATGTGCCATCCTGGGTCCCAGCCGGTCTACACAGTGGGTATCCCAGGGCTGGGAGCCAGGGTGCCTGTTTTCATGTGGGCTGCATGTGAATTTGGGGGTGCCTGTGGATGCCCAGGGTGGTCACAGGGTCATAGAGTGTTACTGTGCTAGCCAGGAAAGGCAGCAAGTCCACTGCACACACTGTAGCGCTAAGGCTCTGAGGGCTCTGGACCTGTTGAGGCTTCTCTTCTCGTTAGCGGGAGAAGCGAGCTCAGCAAGGAAGCAGGGGAGGGTGGGATTTTAACAGCAGCTTGGAAAGCATCGGAGAGGAAGGTGGAGGCGGCAGACCAGCTGGGGAGCCGGGCCGTGCTGAGTCAGCACACACAGAGGGGCTGACCACCCAGGCACAGGCAGTGGGGGGGACGCCTGTCAGGGCTGGTGCGTGTCTCAGTCCATCCGGGCTATTGTAACAAAATTCCACAGATGGAGAGTTTATAAACAACAGAAATTTACTTCTCACAATTCTGGAGGCTAGAAGTCCATGACTGAGGTGCATGCAGATTCAGTGTTTGGTGGGAGCTTCCTGGTTCATAGACGGCCATCTGTTCCCATGTCCTCACTTGGTGGAAGGGATGGGGGAGCTCTCTGGGGTCGCTTTATAAGGGCACTAATCCCCTTCATGGAGCTCCACCCTCATGACCTAATTGCCTCCCAAAGGCCCCACCTTTGAACACCACCAAACTGAGGGAACAGGCTTCAACATACGGATTTATGGGGACACACACATTCAGGATGTAACAGGGTGGAAATGGGTAAAGAGAAAATCTGTATCTGGCACTTCTGACCAAGGACAAGCTACTCCATTATGGTGTCCACCCGAGGGAGCAGTGAAAATATGAAACCACAGAGAACCCCTAAGGAGGAAGCGATTAACATTTTACACTTCCCCCAACTTTTTTAAATCTTTTTTTTTTTTTGGCTGCGCCTCATGGCAGGTGGATCGTAGTTCCCCAACCAGGGATGGAACCCATGCCCCCTGCATTGGAAGTGTGGAGTCTTAATCACCAGACCACCAGGGAAGTCCTTACACTCCCCTTTACCAAAGTCAGCCTTGCCCCAGAAAACTGAGGCTGACAGCTGAAAGAAAGAAAGAAAGAAAGAAAAAAAAAAAAAAAGCTGAGACAATAGTTGAATAGGAAGGGAACTTGGCAACAAGGGAAAACATGGTTTCTGTGCTAGCAAATATCCTGCTTACAAGCATGGGGAAATGTCAAACAGTGACTTTGGAAAGATGGGTGACACACAGCAGGGAGGTTCAAGTTCGTCTCTACTCTGGAGACTGATGATAAGAAACACCCTAGGCCCGAGGCAGCGCCCCCAGGAGGCTGAGCACACGCAGCACGCAGATCTTGGTCTCTAAAGCCATTCTCTCCAGTTAGGAGCCAGGACTCATTGGAGAAATAGCTGATTCCAGCACAAGGGCAGGGGAAGCATAAGATGAGTCTGGAGCATCTCACAGTGCTAGAAAGTATGGAACAACTTAACAAAACAAAACATGACAGTGACAAGTCACAAGGTCATAGCTGCCGCCCGGAAGACACTCCCACTGGCCAAATCTCACATGACTTGAGCACCAAAGTAATTCGACATAGTAACGAATTATCAATACAAACCACTGACGAGAATGGTGATTCCTGAGCCCATACCAACCAGATACACAGATAGATAGACAGGACTTCTCTGCCTGACGGCAGATGCCAAGTGCCAACTGACAGATGTGGAGTGGATGATGGAAAACCATCCTTTTGCAACAACCATTGTGGCAAAGACGGGAGGTGGCAGGAATCACTCACTGATACTAAATCCAGTGAAACTTCTGATGAAGAGCAGGACATTTGCATGGTCTTAAAGTGCCACCCCACACTGTGACCAGGTGATCAAAATTAACATCACCTACACTGTGCAGCTGAGAAGGCATAACCTCAATTTAATCCAAAGAAAGTATCACGAAAACACAAAATGAGAACGTTTCTATTGAAAAGGAAGGAGAGACTGTATGCTTCAAAAATATCCACGTGAAGGACAAAGAAAGGCTGTGGGAATGTGCTACAGACAATGTGTCTCCCTAGATTCATGTTAAATCCTGATCCCCAGTGTGATGGTATTTGGAGGTGAGGCTTTTTTTTTTTTTCTTGCGGTACGCGGGCCTCTCACTGTTGTGGCCTCTCCCGTTGCGGAGCACAGGCTCCGGACGCGCAGCCTCAGCGGCCGTGGCTCACGGGCCCAGCCGCTCCGCGGCACGTGGCATCTTCCCGGACCGGGGCACGAACCCGCGTCCCCCGCATCGGCGGGCGGACTCTCAACCACTGCGCCACCAGGGGAGCCCCCGGGAGGTGAGGCTTTTGGGAGGAGATCAGGTCAGGAGGATGCAGCCCCATGACGGGGTTTGTGCTCTAATAAAACAACCCCCAGAGAACTCCCTTGCCCCTTCATGGAAGGACACAGTGAGAAGACAGCCGGCCACCTGCAACCCAGAACAGAGGCCTCACCAGACACCGAATCTGTCAGCACCTTGGTCTCAGACCTACCAGCCTCCAGAACATAGGAACTAAATCTCCGTGGCTTATAAGCTCCCCAGTCTATGGTATCTTTGTTACAGCCACCTGAATGGACTGAGAATGTTCCAGATTAGAGGACATCAGACTCTGGCCCTGGCCCTAGACTGGGTCCTGCACTGGAGGAAGATGCTCTAAAGAACATTGTTAGGGGAATTCCCTGGCGGTCCAGTGGTTAGGTCTCTGAGCTTCCACTGCTGGGGACCCAGGTTTGATCCCTGGCTGGGGAACTAAGATCCCGCAAGCCAAGCACCACAGCCAAAAACAAAAAAGAACATTGTTAGGTTGACTAACAAAACTGAAACACAACAAGCAGGTTAAAGGACTGTATTGGTGGAAATTGTGAAGTTACTAAGTATCCACAGCTACCTAGGAGGTGTTGGGAAACTGGCTCTAGGAAGAAAAGCCCAGCTTTGTAGCTTCTGCACATTTCTTGGTGTAAATAACTCCCCCATCAAAGGTTTAACAAGAAGCCAGCAAAATTCCTGAATATGTAACATCAACGTTGGGCACCTGAACAGCACTTTGAGGTTGAAGGGTCAGCCTGCTCTCAGGAAGTGCATGGACCAGTTTGGGGTGGAGGGTCGTGATCGCCTGACTCACCTCCGATGTACACGTTCGCGTCCACATGCACATGGTGAAAAGTACACAGCAGGTGGACTGGGGCAGAGGCATCCAGGTGTTCCCCAGACTAGTTTCACTTTTGTAACTTCATGTATTAGAAATTACTTTCAAATAAAATGCTTTTTTAATGCTCTGTTAGTTTGAAACAGCCAAAAATATCCCCAAAAATAGAGAGGGCAAATTTCTAAATAAATAGCTTAGCACTAAAATGTAAAATATTTCTGCTGGTATTTGAAAAAGTAAAATTTTGAGAACCAAAAGTGAAATCAGCAGCAGCTGTTAAGTGACAGAGTCATGTGAAAAAATGAAGGCAGTTACATTTGTTTGAAAAAATTCAGGTGCACTAAAGCAATGTATTAATTGATGGTTAGTTACAGGTGCTCAAAGTGAGAGAGAAAACACAGCAGGAAAGAGAGTTCCTTTCAGAAAGTCAAGCGGCACATTCCAGCTGCACCACATCCCCTAACCACAAACCACACACACCACTCGGGCACCCAAGGAGGGTAAGAGCTGACCACATGCAGGCGCACCCGGGATTCAGGATGTGGAGGGCCAGAGGTACGGGTCACATCACACTGCAGACCAGCAAGGCTCACCTTTATCCTCTGGTGTGGCCAAAGCATCGTGTGCAGAAAGTTCTTAATATTAATTGGGAGGGAAATCATTAAGAGGCAAATGGATACTAGACCCCTAACTCCAAACAATAATGTTCTATCTGCTGGAGTCCTCGGTAATCTCAAGATGGGAATAGGTTATGATCTGTTTCCCCAGCACTGACATTGTTCACCACCTACGCCCTCTTCTGCATAGTGGCAGCGCCAGCCAAGTGGGCTCACATTGGTAGATTTGGCCCAGGAAATGCAAACACTCAACCACAGGAGACAAGATGAAGCCCTACATGGTGCCGGGACACACAGAGGGGGACTTAGGACAGGGGCTGTCTCGCCACCTGGCCAGCCCGTGTGGGGCTGGGCACACGTGCTGAGCAGGCAAGTCCCACCTGTCTCCTTTCAGAACACGAGACAGGATGCTCCTGTGGACCTGGGCTGGACCACCCTCCACGTGGAGGCCAGGGGGCGGGAGGGCCCACCTGGGTCTGAGCGGACAGACCCTGACGACCCCGCAGGTAGGGGGCCACATACCCGGCACTTGAGCTTGTACTCCTTCAGGACCTCTGAGAACCGCTCCTCCTGGGTCAGGAGCTCCGTGCTCTGTGGCTCCAGCTGAAAGCCAGATGCAGGCAGGAAAACGAGGGCTGGGACATGAGGCCAGGTAGAGGGTGTGTTGTCACCCCCAGACGCTGTCCCCACCAGGCTTATTAGCATCTGCAGGTACAGCTTCCCATCTCTCCTCTTCCTCCCCTCCCCTTGTCTAAAAGGTCTCAGGGCAGAAGGATGTTTGGAATTTATGGAAGCAGGCCATGCTCCCACCTGGAGCCTGGGCTGTCTTCCTGCCTTGGCCACCTGGGAGGCCCCCTTCCTGGACCCTGCACCTCCCCTCCCCTCCTCCTCTGAAGGTGATGGTAAGCGCCAGCTGGGGGGCCTCTAACCTCTCCTCTGTGCCCACCACCACCAAGACCCTGTCACTGGGGTCTGTGCAGAGGGTGCTGACTGCTCCAGGCTTTGTCACTAAAAGGCCAACGTGCAGGGCATCACCCGGGCGTCACCAGCACCGCTGCAATGCATGAAGTGGAGGAAAACACAGGGATGGTAGCCGTGATAATTTTCTCTCCATTACAGAATTTTAGTAGAAAAAACCTAAATTCCATCGCCTGTGTATTCTTCGTCAAGACCCTGACGCCCTCTACCCGGCGCCCATGGGCGCCTCTCTGGAGACTCAGAATCAGCAAGAGGACCCACCTTGTCCTTCAACACAAACTCCAGATCATTCTGCAGCTTCAGGACCAGCTTCTCCGACTCTGCGAGCTTCTCCACGACTTCAATCATCTCCTTCTGCAGTCGACTGTTTTCCTACAAGACACAGGCCAGCGGTTAGCCGGCTTTGGGGACGGAGGAGGGAGCTGTGTGGAAGGGCTGCCCCCTCTGAGAGAGAGGCAGGGCTCATGAGCAGGGAAGGTGGACCCCACGGAGCCCTTGGGGATACTCCCCCTTTCCCACTGCCTAGACTTCTCCCACCCACCCAAGCTCTCGGGCAACCCTTCCCGAGCCGTCTTCTAAAATACAAGTTGAAAGCTGTACCACGACGGCCCAGGTGTCCACCAGGAGCAAGGCGGTGTCCACCAGGAGCAAGGCAGTGTCCTCAGACACGAGGACCAAAAAGAAGGCATGTGCCCAGCCTGTCCTCCAGGGGAACTGAGGCGAGGGAGGCAGGGCAGGTGTGGACAGAGCCCGCAGCCCCAAGTTAGGGAAGGAGGAGGAAGGGGGGCCGGGGACACCTCACTGGAAGCAAATGCAGGGTGGGTACTGGTCGTGGGGCGCTCTCCACAGCCCAGAAGACTGCGTCTGCTCCAGGGCTGGGGGCGCAGGCTGATGCCTTTGTCTTTTGCTGACCCCACTGGTGCTCTGGTCCCAGGGGTGCAGCAGAGGTGGCTGCAGCCGCTGACCCAGAGGCCCTCGGGTCCCCCATCCTGCTGCCCACACGGCTGGAGATGAGGGACCATGTGTCTCCCAGGAAAGCCAGGACCCTTTCTGCTTTGGCTGAGAAATGGGCTCTTTCCGTGGCTGCAGGAAATGTTTTTTAGAGTGAAACCCCCAGCACCACGGGGAGGGTTTAATCCTGGACCAGGGAGGTGTGGGTGTGGAGGATGGACCCTTAGGCAACCTCGCCTCCGTCTTTTCGGGCAGGAGGCCCTGGGGAGGCACCCCTCCGCCCCCCGAACACCCCTACCTTCAGGGACAGGCTCAGCTTCTGGCGGAGGCTGGCCTCTTCGGCCCGAAGGCGCTGCAGGTCCTCCTCCAGCGCAGCCCTCTGCCGCCGGGCCTGCTCCCAGAACAGCTCACGCTCCACCTCCACCTCGGACCGCAGGAGACTCAGCCTCTCCCTGTACCCCTGCTCCAGGCGTCTGCAAGGCACATGGCACATGGTTCATCAGGCTCCTGAGGGGCACCACCTGGGCCTCCCCCACCCCCCCGGGGTCTCTCGCTGGAGCACTCGGCCACAGCGTCTGGGACTCGTTTGTCCACCCTGGCAGATGAGAGAGCTGCAGATGCTGTGCCATTTAAGGATGCGGGGCCTCCTTAAATCCCTCCTCGGGGCTGGTGGAGGTGACCCCACACAGACAAGGTGAGCCAGCGGGTCCCTTGGCCTCTGGGGTGAGCTAGCGGGTGACCTCTGGGTAGGTCTCTGACGCTCCTCAGCCATTCAACCTCCTCCACATCATCAAAAAATGAATCAATAAATAAAGGCAGCACCAAAGCTTTCGGTGACCAAATGCGCACAGAAGCCAGCCTCTGTCACGAGGACACAGGCATCAGAAAACCAGTACGTGGCGAATCCCAGAGCAGCCAGAGAAAGGTGCGGAGGCCCTTCCCCTCAGACTCTGCCGTGATCCTCTGGAATAACCATTTCTTTGGGGTTTTTTTTGGCTGCACCTTGCAGCATGCAGGACTTTAGTTCCCCAACCAGGGATCGAACCTGTGCCCCCTGCAGTGGAAGCACGGAGTCCTAACCACTGGACCACCAGGGAAGTCCCCGCAATAACCATTTCTATCAGCAGAGAAAACAGTGCTAGATCTCAGCTTTATCACTAAAACAGCTGTTTAACAGGATTCTCAGACCCAGTCTATCTAGACTGAAGATGAATGAAACTCTTCGGCAGACCTTGGCCATGTCAGCAATCGAGCATGAGAAACAGTGGGCTCGGCCTCCCTCAATCTCACCCCAGAGCTTCGAGGCGGGGGCATGAGGGGAAGTGGGGCAGCCATCACTTAGGGAAAAGGTTTGACGAGTGTGATTAATCTAACAGCCCACAAATCTTGGGGCTAACTTTACAAATACAAATTTGATCATATCACTCCACTCTTTAGAGGGGAAAGGTGCAGTAAAATCCGGCAGAACAGACCCACATCACGGGTGATCCATGGCCATCAGAAAGCATATGCAGCACACCACCATTCTGTAAGTAATCACGTGCACGGAAAAGTGAGGGACTCACAAAAAATGTTAGGAGTGACAACCTCTGTGGACGTGAGACTTTTGCTTTTATTTTTCCTTTTACTTGTGTTTTCTTTCTTTTTTATTATCTATTTATTTATGGCTGCATTGGGTCTTAGTTGCCGCATGCGGGCTCTTCGTTGCGGCATGAGGGCTTAGTTGCCCTGCAGCACGTGGGATCTTAGTTCCCTGACTAGGGATCGAACCTGCATCCCCTGCATTAGAAGGCGGATTCTTAAACCCTGGACCACTGGGGAAGTCCCTACTTGTATTTTTTAAGTTTTCTACAATGAACATGTATCATTTACTACTTTTGTAATAAAAACAACCTAACACAACCACAAAAACTATTTCTAAAAACGTACCAATGATGCCCCGTTGCTCACTGGGCAAAATCCAAACACTCGCGTGGCCCTCGAGGCTTCGTGTGTTCCCCCACCAGATTCTTGGACTGAGATATGGCCTTGGAGTCTCTGGTTCTCTGACCCAGAGAGAACTTCCCTGAGTCCCTTCTGGGTGGTTGGGAGAGTCAGGCCGACTGGGCCAAGACCAACGCAAATCAGTTGTCAGCTCCCTGACCGATCATCTAAAATCGTCCACACTTAAGCTTGTGGGCGCTGGGGTGGGGGGCAGCACAGGCCACTGAGGAAGGACGTGTGCGGGTCAGGCTGCTCCAGAGCAGGGAGCCCCAAGGACCCTGTGTCCCCAGTCCTCGCCTCAGGACACAGTCCCACGTCCGCCCACATCAGGGATGCGGCAGAGTGCAGCCGCGATAAAGAGCTACCGGGAGGCAGGTGGCGCCTCAGGGGAGGAGGAAAGCCTTTCAAAAAGGTCAGAAATTCTTTCCTCTGGTTTGTCCACCACCATCCCGGCCAGCTCACCAGGAGTCCGCTCAGGCCACCCGATGGGCGATGCCCGGTGTGCGGTTTGGGGCCCCAGGCTCCTCCTGCGGGGCCAACAGGCAGCAAAGCCATTCCCTAGTCCTCTCAAAACGTCCACCCGTCTCGATGATCACAGGCACGGACAGAAGACTCAGCTTGAGTGGGACAGACCCCGACGGATGGAGCAGAGAGTGAGGCCAGCAGAGCACTTTCCCCTGCAGACGCTCGTCACAGGCACTCGGCCAGACGCCACACTCCCAAGCGAAGGGCAAGACTGCTTCCTAAAAATGCACCGTCTTCCGTCAAGGAAGGACGTCAGCAGAGTGCTGGGCTCAGGTGAGACAGCAGGGCCTCAGCTTGCGGCCGCCCGCATCCACTGCCCACCCTCAGCCGGGGACCCCCGCGGGACCTACCCGACGTTCTCCTCTGCGAGCTGCTCCAGGGCAGAGTGGAGGTCGTCTGTCTCCTTCACAAACTCCAGGTGCCTCTGCTCTGCCTTCTCCATGTCCTGCCTCGCCTTGTCCCGCTCCCTGGCCATCTGCTCCACCTGCCCCCTGTGTGAAGGAGGCGGGGTCAAAGGGGACACCGCTCTGGGCCCAGCAAGCCCGTCCGCAGGAACAAACACGGCTGGGCTAATGGCACTGAGCAGCAGCCAGCGCTGGGCTCTGACCCACCTCCTCCCAGGGCCGTTTCTACAGTTACTGTGCCCGGTTTACAGAAGCACATACAGTGACAGGCCAACTGCCTGCCTGGCAAAGGGGTTTCTAGCAGGTTTCTGAACCAGGAGGTCTGAGCCTAGAACGTGCAGCGTGCCACCCCTCCAGATGGCCTCAGGACAGGCAGGAATTTATCTACGCTCCCTCTTGCCTGCAGCTGGGCCTCGGGGCCCTAGCAGCTAACCTGGGACTGGATGCATGAAGGGGATAAGGCTGACCACCCATTATCCTGCCTGGCCACAGCCCTGCCACCTGCAGCCTGGCATCAGAGTGACTGTGCAGGGACTTGCCCAGAACAGAGGAGATTCCTGTATGTGGCCCTGTCCCTGTCTGGTCACCCTGGGTCCCACCCAAGGCTCTGTGCAAACCATCTCTGGCACCAGCTATTCTGGTGCCCGTTTCTCCCACTGAAGAGGCATCCCTGTCCCAAAGCACAGTCTTTCTCTGGTCCCCTTTGCTGAACTGCCTGACAGAAGGCTCATCTGTTGGTACCTAATGAGATGCAAAGTCTTGAGGATCGAGGTTGGGATTTCTGCCAGCCTTTTCTGTAGCTTCAGAACATCAATAAACACACGAAAACCAATCTTTGTGCCAACCTGCTCAGCAGACAGACGGCCTGAAAAGCCAACCAAACCCAGAGCCAAACCCAGTTAAAATGGTTTGTGTTCTTGGCCCAACTGCCGTGCTGTGCTTTGTGACTGTGTTTGAAGCATCCTTCCTCCTCCTGCCGGGTGCCCGAACCTGGGGGCAAGGAGGCCGGTCTAGCCAGGGGCACCCACACACCCTCCCCATCGGGGCTCTTACTGGCGGAAGCTCAGCTCCTGGCGGTAGCAGGCCAAGGCTGCCTGCTGAGTGGCACCGCCCACCATCATGAGCTCGTTCTCAAGGGCCCAGGCCAGCTCCAAAAGGTTCACCTTCTCGTCCACACTGAAGTCGAGGCTCTGAAAACAGCAAGGCCCATCAGCCAGGCAGGATGAGTGGGTCTCCAGACACTTCCTGGCTCCCTCAGGACGGTCAGGCCCAGACCACGCTGTCCCTGCACCCTCCTTTTCTCTCTGCAAAGTCTCTGCCCCTTGGGTGGAGCCCTTCCCCTGCCCCATCCCCTCTGACGGTTCCCCCATCCCTGTCAACCCCAGTGTCCCCCCATCCCCACTACAGTCCCCTCAACCCTGTCAACCCCAGGTCCCCCCATCCCCACTACGGTCCCCCCATCCCTGTCAACCCCAGTGTCCCCCCCTGCCTCGAGGGTGGGCATGACCTAGGCTGGACAGAGTCCCCCTCCCTGGACAAAGTGACAGACACAGAAGGGGGCATGTCCCAAGCAGAGGACTTTGGGGATTGATAGGGAGGCCAGAGAAGGGCTTTTTCCCTGTGAAATCAGGTGTTGTATAAACCACGTGGGCCCTGGGGAGCTGCACAAGGGGACTGGACCTGAGGCCAAGGCCCCCACCAGCAGAGTCCAGACAACACCCGGAGCTGGGACCCCCGAGCCTAACATTCTTCTCCGACTGACCACGATGGTCCCTAACGTCCTCCTCCTGCCCAAGCTAGTTTGACTTGGGTTTTTGCCATTTCAGACTCAAAGAATCCTGACTAATATGTCTCTGAACTACACAAACAGATACAGGAACAGATGGGGGTTCTGTTGGTGGACACAAGACCTATCAGAGAGAGATAAGCCACAGCCCAGCATTCCAGAGAGTCACACTCATTCGCTCTCGGGATTCTCGGAAAAGTACAGTTAAAAGAATGGAAAAATTTTATTTTATGTATTTTACCATAATAAGAGAAAGAGAGAGTAGGACAGGAACGCTCGTCCATCCTGCTGGCTGCCCAGTAGGAACACTTTTGCCATGTCTGCTCCTTCAGCTATGGGCGCACTTGACTACAAGGCCCAGACACACGGGCGGGGCAGGCACGTGGCAGGGCCCACGGGGAGGCCCTTCCTTTAACTTATGAGGCGGAGACTTGAATCTCCGTCCTTCCTCTGGGCCGCGAGTGCTTCCAGAGAGAAATGAAGCGTGTGCAGCAACTGGGAAGCTGAAGTTCTGACACAAGCGCACACTTCCCAGCAACGAAACCATGGGTGGGGGCAGAGGACAGAAAGTGGTCCCAGCGGCAGCTTCCCGATTAGAAAAACCACGTGGCACAACGTGGGCGCCTGCCTCCTGGCATTCATGCCCATGTACTCCTGTGCTGACCGGGACGGACCTACGTAAACCCCAGGATGGTGCCAAGGTAGCAGTGTGTGGCTTCCCAGGCCAGGGCGTGGGAGGCTGAGGCCCCTCTCCGCTCTCCTGGATGGGGCTCTGGGGAAGCCAGAGCCATGCTGGGAGGAGGCTCAGGCTGCCCTGGGGAGGAGCCCACATGGCAGGGAGGGGAGGCCTCCAGCCTCCGACGAAGGTCCACTCTCCATCCTGCTGGGCCTCGGGAAGACCACAGGGCAGGCTCCTGGAGACCCCAGGCTAGGAACACCCGGCTGCGTGGCTCCCAATTCCTGAGGAGGTCAGGAATCCGCAGAGCAGCCCTGGCGGTGGTCCCACAGACACTCGCGTGAGGTCCGGAGAAGCTGGGTGTGGGAGGCCAGCACGTCCAGGCCGGGGCTCACCTAGTGGGCTTCCTCCCCGAGGGAACACACCTCTCTCAGGCAGGTGTGCTCAGGGGCAGCTGGCGGTCCCGCCCAGTGTCACAGGTGACCAGTTATGGACCTGCTGCACCAGGACACCCCGACTGACTGCCAGCTTGCCCGAGAGCCACCCTGTGTCAGGGGGACAGATACGCCTGGGGGGCCACATGGAGGGTCCTGCTGAGGGGAGTTCAGTAACATTGCTGCCTCTCAATTCAATGGAATCAAACGCTGAGCAACTGGAAAATCATCAGTTGCTAAAGGAATGGAAACATGCTGTGACAGCAAGAGAGCAGTAAAAAGAATAAGTCCTGAAGTGTCGGGGGCAAGCGTGAGACTCGTCACTGGCTGGATCCTTGACGGCAGCCAGCCCACCTCCAAGTGCAGGGAATCAGGAGCAGCGTCTTAGGGAGAATCTCAAAACCATGAGCCTCTGGGACTTCCCTGGTTTTCCAGTGGTTAAGGGCTCCATGCTTCCACTGCAGGGGGCACAGGTTCGATCTCTGGTTGGGGAACTAAGATCCTACATGCTGTGTGGCACAGCCAAAACCAAAAAACCAAAAAAACCATGAGCCCCTCTGCTCTTGGCCCTCCCCGGGGGCCAGTTTCAGTGGTCCGGCCTCAGCCTCTGGTTCTCAGAATAGTCCTGTGGGCCAGCCGTCCAGGGATGGCCTTGCGTTGGGCTCCGCCCGTGCTGCTGGGCAGCGGGACTCATCAATGGCGAAGCTTAGGTCCAGGAGAGTCTGGCCTGAGGAGTCGGGCAGATTGTCTTAAAGGCTGTTTTTTTTCTCCTTCCTGTTCTATTGGTTTTGTGCCAATATGGACATTTTTGGAGGCAATACAATAGAAGTTATCAAGAGGTAAAATGCATACCTTCAGGAATCCGCCCTACCGAGAAACACCAGCATAGGGGCAGAAAGGTATGCGTGCATTACAGGTGACGAGATTCATAACAGGAAAAAAACATACGTGTCCCACGACAGGGAAAGGGTAATGTAAATTAGCAAGGTATACGGTATGACACCAATTTTGCAAAAGAAATTTTTTAAATGGGAATGTCTAAATATGCATTTCTTTCCTGTGCCAGGGAAGAGCTTGCAGAATGCCCACCAGACCTTTACCTGTCGCCATCCCTGGAGACCAGGAGCAGAGGGGGGCAGGCTTTATTATTCTATAGATTTCTGTAGAGCTGAAGCTTTTTTTCACAATGGAAAGTGAAATTTGGAAATGAAACTAACTCATCTAGTTCGCCACACCTGCCCCAGCACTCTTCCCTTGCTGTGCCCGCCCTGTGTGCACCTGACTTGCCACCCAGGGCAGAACTCCCTCCAAAGCCCCAGGGCTGCCCTGTGTCCCCACAGAGGGGACTTGACTGAAAAGGGAGAGCACAGGCCTCCTCGTGTGTGACCGCTGGAGGGAGGTCGGAGGGCAGGGACGGGGAGAGGAACTCCCCACAGAACTCATCCGGGGCGAGTAGAAACGCTCGGACGTCTGTGACAGTGGTGTCCACTAAGACGTCCCTCCTCCAGGTCAGCAGATCAGCTCCAGGGCTGACACGCACTGGGGGGGAGAGTCTAAGATGCTGAAACCTACCTTCAAATGGATTTGTTTCAGGCTGTGGTTTTCTCTGCTTTTTACTTATTACGTTTTTAACACTTCCTATATCTCAATATCAAAAAATAAAGAAAAAAGTATTATGATGGGCCTTCCCTGCACAGGGCCTGTGTCTGCGGTAGGGGGGACGGGGGGAGCTCCGTCCAGCCTCCCCTGTGGGCAGCGGCCCCGCCCACCTAGACACCTCTGCTGGGGCAGCCGTGCGCGACCGGTCCAAACCTGCAAGACCTCCCTGCCGTTGTGCACCCCCTCCTGGGCCCACAGGGTGACGATCTGCTCCGGGAAGGCGAAGCCGGTGCCGTCATCCACGCTGCACAAGAGGCGCGGGCCCGAGCTCACGGACACGAGGGATGACGTGGTGGTCTGGCCACCACCCTCCTCTGGGACCTGCACGTCGGGACAAGCTCTGTGAGCCCCTGTGGCCTCCTCATGCACCCTCCCTGACCTCCCCGCCTGTGTAGCCTCCCCGAGGCCTGAGAACAGTGCTGATTCCTGCTCCAGGGAATGGGGCGCCCGCAGGATCTGACTCGAGCCCAGGGCTCAGCACTGTCCATGCCAGGCCATGCAGGGGATGCCCAGCGCCTGCCAGGCCCTGAGGTAATTTCTCCCCTCCTGCTGAGGGAAACCTGGTCTGTGCAGAGAAACCCAAGACGGGCTTCAGAAGGAGGGTGGGAGTGGCCCAAGCAGAGGATGCGTGTCCTCAGGATTCAGGGTCAGAGAGTTTTAAGACAAGGGCAAAAAAATCCCTCAGCCAGAAGGCTGACCGGTGAGGCCGAGGTACTGCAAGAATCCAGCTGTGGGGCTTCCCTGGTGGCGCAGTGGTTAAGAATCTGCCTGCTAAAGCAGGGGACACGGGTTCGAGCCCTGGTCTGGGAGGATCCCACATGTCGCGGAGCAACTAGGCCCGTGAGCCACAACTACTGAGCCTGCGCGTCTGGAGCCTGTGCTCCGCAGCAAGAGAGGCCGCGATAGTGAGAGGTCCGTGCGCCCCTACGAAGAGTGGCCCCCTCTTGCCACAACTAGAGAAAGCCCTCGCACAGAAATGAAGACCCAGCACAGCAAAAATAAATTAATTAATTAATAAACTCCTACCTCCCCCAACATCTAAAAAAAAAAAAAAAAAATCCAGTTGTGCTTCCTGCCCCTTGGAGGGCAGGGCCCTTCAGACACGCATCTGCAGTCGGGGCCAGAACAAGCAGCAGCAGCTGGGGCCCCCAGACCACCAGGCCCACCTGCTCCCCTGATGGAGCAGGAGAATCTCCGTCTGGGCCCAGGTGCGAGGCCCCATGTCACCACTCCAGCCACGCTGGCATCCACATGCACAGGACACAACCCCATGGCCATGTCAGCACTTCCCGGGCAGGAACGGGGGCTGCTGTACCTCAGAGGAGGCCTTCCCTCCCACAGGCTCTGGGCATGACTGCACTGTGGTCTCTGCCCTCAGGTGGCCTGGCACCATCCCTCGTCTCTCCTGGTTCCTTCCCTGTCTCAGTGGCTTCAGGTGCAGAAACCTGATTCTCAGACGCGCCTGGCCTAGCAGAGAACAAGGTCACTGTTCCTGCATCACCGCCCACAAACTGCGGGATCAGCCACGTCGGCCAGAGAAGCCTCAGCAAGACTGCCCAGGACAACCGTGCCCTGTGGTGGGAGACGGAGGCTGACTGTCCTGGGATTGAGAAAAACCAAATGCACCGAACATCACAATTTAAATAACCACCTAAAATCTCTCCTCCAGCAGGCCTTGTACAGGATAAAACTCACGTATACAGTATGGGGAGAGCACAGCTCCAGGAATGCTTGTTAAGGCTAATCCTGGGGAAGACACGGACCCGTCAGTGACTCTGCCCTCCGGGGAGGAGGGAAAGGGGGTGCTCTTTTTGGAACACAGTGTACCCCACATTGAGGCATAACAAGGAACTGTCAGGGAATCCTCATATGACCCCTATGAGGTAGGTGAGTCCATTTTACAGACAAGGAACCTGAGGCTCAGAGAAAGTGAGTAGCTCACCAGTGACACACAGCTTGGCAGGAGCAATGCCAGATCAGCCCAAGGTTGCACAGCCTCCCACAGCACACGCGTGTGTACACACCCCGACCAACTGCTGGGCACCCTCTGTGGGGACCAGGCAGAGAGGTCAGGCCTGCAGAAGATGCTGAAAGCCAAAGAGTGATGGCAGTCGCTCTGGGGTTCAAGAGTTGATCGTCCCATTTTACCTGGTAATGAGACCAGGACCCGCTCGGTTTGACAAGTGTGGAAGATTCCAGAAGTTGAGGGGATCCATGATTGAACAGGCCAAGCTGGAATTCCTCTAGACTCACTCTGCCGTCGCCGTCTTGGTCCAGCTTGTTGAAAAGGTCTTCAAGTTCCTAAATAAAAGCCCCCAGGCATCTGCTTAGAGGCTCTCCCACTGTAGCTGTGCCCACCCCACCCAGGCCTGGCCCCCACCCTCCCCAAGCAGGCGGCTCGCTGTCCTATCCAAACAGTGGTCTCCCCGCTCTGGCTTGTGAAATCCACACACTTGCTGTGAATGGCCACCTGAGCTTCCCAAAACCCACAAAACACCCGTCCCGTGTCTGCCGTGCCAGGAGCTTGCTGGATGGAGGGACATGTACGTATGGAACATGGCCCGGGCCCCCAGCAGCTCAGGGTCAGCAAGGGCAGGGCTAAGAGCACTTCAGTAAGGAGGGGCCTGTCCCATCACACTGCCCTCCACTTCCCCTGGCCCCCGCAGGAGGGAAGGGGTGAATACAGCTGCTGGGAGCGTAGCCAGACGCTGCGGGCACCACACTTGGGCTGGGTGGCAGATCTGGGCCACTGAGGAGGGGTGGGGGAGGAGTGCCCCCGGCAGAGGAGGATCCTGCGTGAAGGCGGCCACAGACGGACCTTCGACACAAGCCCTGGGAGTCAGCATGGGATGTGAGACCAGAAGGTGAGAACTGAATCAGCGTCTGACGGTGACGGGGTTTTCCAGGCCCAGCACCAGCCATGACCACCACAAAGACCCAGCCCATCAGGGAGGTCCACCCCGCCCTCTCTCACCTCCTTCTCTAGGCCCTGGAGCCCGACGCTCTGGCAGAGCAGGGCCAGCTCCTGTTCGGTGAGGTGGCCGCTGCTGCCCACACCCAGCTCTTCCCAGAGGCCCCGGACCCGGCTCTCAGGGGTGTCGAAGGAGGAGCTGCAGGGCTTCCGGAGGCTCCCGAAGACCTCAGAACCCCAGGTTGGCAGCTGGCCTGAAGCAGGGCACACATACCAAGGCTGTAATTTACTCTGAAATCGGACGGACTGATGAATGGGCAGAGGGACGGGCATGTGGACACAGGTGAGAGACAAGCTTCAAAGGAGGAATCCAGGTGGTGGGTACACAGTGCTCACGGTACAACTCTTCCACTTCCATTCTATGCAAATTTTCACAATCAAATGGAGGAATCTGCTGCATGTGGGGAAAGCATTTTCTTTTTTCAAAAAAATATTTATTTATTTAGGTTGCTCCGGGTCTTAGGTGCAGCATGCAGGATCTAGTTCCCTGACCAGGGATCGAACCTGGGCCCTCTGCATGGGGGCCACGGAGTCTTGCCCACTGGACCACCAGGGAAGTCCCAGAAAGCATTTTCTGAAGGGAACCTGCGAAGCCACAGCACTGAGAGCACAGCTGCAAGGTTTGTACTTAGAACAAAAAGGTCAGGTTTAAAACACTAATTTTTAGAAACTCTTCAAACCTACCCAAAGTAAAGAGCACAGTCCAGCAAAGGCCAGTGGTCCTGTTCCTTGGGCAGCAGGCCACCCCGGCTTCATCTACCCCTGTTTATTCTTGCCCAAGTATTTGAAAGCAAATTCCAGCTGCTGTGTTCTCACCCCTGTGTGTTTCGTGTGTACTGCTGATCCCAATGCCACTATCACCCTACAAACCAACAATGGTTTACCCAGCTCTCCCTCAAGAGTCTCCCGACAGTTGATTTCTTTGAATCAGTATCAACACAGAATCCTCCCTGTGCGTGTGGTTATTCCTCTCGAGTCCTTGGAACACGAGAACCTCACTGCCTGCCCCACTCTGCTTCCTCGCATGCCTCCATCACTAACATCGTCTATAAACCGGAAGTTAGCATCAAAGCCTAGTTTGGATTCAGGCTCAGTTTTATCTTTTTCTTTCTGGCAAAAAACGTCCCAAGGTGCACTGTGTTCTCCACGCCACCTCGCAGCAGGAGGCACAGGTATCTTTGAGATGCAAAGACACCTCAGTGAGTTTGGATGACAGATGGCCAGGTTTCATAACTTTTCTACTTTAGCCAGGTGGCTTACTGAGGTTTCTGAAGCTTTGCCAGAGAAACACCCTCTCGAAGGGGACAGACCTTGGGGGTGCCCACGAGGAGCTCTCCTCGGATGAGCGAGGCTTCAAAGCAGAGTTCCCTCCACGCCCAGGCCACACCACCCAGCCCAACACAGGAAGAGGGCTGCCTGCACCTGACCAGACCTGGGCTCTCGGCCAGTGGTCTAGAGTTTTCAGGAGAGGAGCCACCTTGGCGTTACTTTGATAACCCAACTAACGATCAGAAAGCCACTTTGCCAAGGAAAGCTAGGGCCTGTGTGCTCACGAATGATGCTGTGGGTTGAGCTGAGGAAAACACAAGGAAAGGGCCACCTCTGAGATCCCTTCCAGCTTAAAACATCTGAAAGTTCTACTTAACAATGGAAGAGCAATTCTGACACCGGGGTGTATTCTCATGGCTGGCAGAGGAGCAAATAAGTCCTCTGAGGTCTGACATGACTGTTCACACACCAGTGTCAGTTCTAACCTGGAGGGAAAGAAGAACTCCAACCTGTCTCTGGGCAGAGTCCGAAATGACTTGGTGAATAACCTCCCCAGGAGCCCTTCCTCTCGTCCCCTAGATTTACAGAGTCCAGGGAATTTAGGACATGATTTGGCTGCCCTTCCGGACACAAAAGCGTCCATCTGCTTCGTCCAGTAGCACAGGCACTCCGGTCATTCCCCTGACGTCACCAAGCTCAACGCTGAGCCACCAAGAGCCTCAGCCCCCGAGGACCACAGTCTGGATAATGCTCAGTGCCAGTGCAGACCTCTCACTCAGGAGAAGCTCAAGGTCAGCTCGGGTCTCGCCCTCGAGCCATGTTCCTGCACGTTCTGCCCTGTGACACACTCCAGTGGGAGGTGTCCTTAAGGCACCTGCAGACCTATGTGCTGATGCACCCAGATTTGCTAAGCACGCCTGCGGCTGCCTTCCAGGTGCTCCATTAGGCTCTCCAGGACCAGAACCACGTCTTATGCTCGACGTGGGGCAGACAGGGCCCCAGGCAGCAGGGAGGCTGCTGGCCCAGGCCGGGTGCTTCAGGAAGGAGTCCCCAGGCCCACGCCTGCCGGCTGGGGTCATGCTCGTCCTCCCAGACCGTGAAGCTGCTCCCTTAGCCAGCGGCCCCCGCTTGAGGGTCTGATCTCAGGGGTCTCCCAGAGCTGGAACCCTGCCCCCAGGAAAAGGGCCCCCCAGGGACACCACCCACACCGGGCACTTCTCAGGAAATTGTCCTTGGCTGGCAGCCTGCTGCCTGGCAGCCTAGCACTGGCCAAAGGTGGCACCGACCACAAGGCTGGGCTTTACCTTTTGCTTCAAACAACTCATTCTGAGGGTCCTTCGCACTTTCGGCTTCTTCATCGGACTTGAGACTCTGGAAAAACAGAAAGAAAAGGACGTGTGAGTCCCCAGAGGAAAGGGCAGCGGACGGAGCACTGGGAACAAGCAGAACGGTCTGGTGGGGCTGGGTGGGTGGGACACCTGAGGAAGGGGAGCCCCAGCCCACAGGGCAGCCCTGGTGGTCAGCCACGAGGCCCCGTGCACACCAGCTCCCTCTCTCGGACCGCACGCTGCGGCCTGCACTCGGCACCCTCTGCATCCCGCCCCTCATGACCCATGTCTTTTGGCAACAGTCAAGGAAGAGCAGGTCTCTGACCCCCAGGTGCTCCGGAGACAGCAGGTGATCTGCTGAGACCTCAGTGCCCAAGGGGCTGGGCCACCAAGAAGTCCAGTAAAACCTCATGCTTCTGTGACCGAGTCCACAGACCACAAAGTCAAAGTCTGCTTCTGATTTTGGAAGGAACACTGGCTTGACCAGGACTCAGCACTTAGAAACGGCGCTGAACTGAGGCTGGAGCTCTGGGGGCAGGTGGTATATCTCATTTTTCTAATGCATTCAACCTGCTGACAACCCTAAAGGCAGCAACCCTAGGGTCCTAGTTCTGGGGATCAAAGATGGTTTTAAGAAGCAGAACGGCACCACAGAGATGGCGTGGACACATGAAGCCTTCCATCCCTGGGGCCAAATTTAAGAGAGAGAATAAAGCAGCAAAGGCCTAGGGTTTATTGGTGCCGCCCAAGTGCAGCACATCCCTGAGAGAAGCGACTCCAGGATCTAAATACATATTTATTTGCTTTTCCTATTGGCCTCAACAAATGTTGAAAATATAAACAAATTAATATGGGGGCCCAGAGCTGTCTTATTAAAGGGAAGCTCCCCTAGAGCCTCATCAGACAGAGGTGGACATCATGGGAGGAGCCAGGAACCTTCTGGAACCCTAAAAAGAGGTCCAACGGGCCACGATTAACCCGTGGGGTGTGGATCTGCCCCGTGGACGTCCTTCCTGACACATAGCCCTCGAGGCTCCTGCAGTGGACAGCTCAGGGAGCCTGGGGTCCCCAGAGGCATCTGGCATGTCATGACTGCCAAGTTGTGGAGGGTGAGCCTCAGTCGCCCCCAGTGCTGCTCCCTCTATCCTCGGCTGATTAACCTTCCTGTCCTTCTGGCAGTGCCGGGGCGGGGGCAGTGGTGAGCAGGGGATTCTCCATGGCCCCCATGTCTGAAGGAGGACGCTCTGTGGCCAGAGTTTCCCTGCAGACAGTGAGACCCAGAGACACCTTAAAACTAGATGTCACTCCCCAAAGTGCTCTGGCGATCAGATAGATGCCCCCTCCCATCTTCCCGTATCGTGTCACATGAGCAGTGATTATGGCGGGGGGGGGTGCGTACTTGGGCGAGGGCAAAGGGGGGGTCGACCCACCTCCACACTTTCCAGAGATGCGGAGCGTCGGAGCTGGCTTCTCACACTGGGCCTGCCAGGCTGCTCCGGTAAACAGGGGGCTCCACCTGCAGCATCGCAGGGCTCGGGCCAGCTCCGACGGCCATACCACTTAGAGCCGCTCACGTACTTTGGGGGAACGGCCCGGGGGGCACCTGGAATAAAAACGGGAGGTGTTCTCTCAAACAGCCTCTGGGCCCACATGTGCTGCCAAGATGCCCTTTACGAAGGTGCAGGTTCGGGCGCAAAGCGTGGCTCTCAGGGACACACATGGAAAACACCTGGAAGAACACAGGGAACGGTCGACAGTGGGGCTGGGGCTGAGACAGCCAGGCTGGGACGCAGGGACTTTCCATCCTAAACTCGAGGTGCTGTTTAAATGTTTCCAACCAAAATATGTTTTTGTTATGCAATAAAAGACTAATACAAAAATCTAGCTTTTTACACAAGGAGAAAAGCCTCCAATAATCCAGCAACATACTGCTCTAGAGATCAGAAGGTCACGTCTCACCCACCCCATTCACTACAGGACCCCCCCCCCCCCCCC